AAATTTATAAATTTAGATAGGGGTGGGTGTGTGGAGCCTTACGGTTTCTTTCAGCAGAGATTTTGTTACCTAGCCGGGTAACAAAACGTCACAAGAAAACAACCAAGCTCAGAGAACCCCAAGGACTCCACAGTTCAACCCTGAGCTACATATATTCTCTTCTATTGGTACAGGGCTTTTTACCTGTAGTTTCCAGTCACATGAAGTATTTCTGTGATTGGCAGCTTATAACTCAACCATGCGAGAATTGTTGTATTAATAAAGTGACCATAAAAAGGGTAAAGTGGAAACTACAGTATATTATCTCTATGAGAGGGACAGAAGAGTAGCTGCATCAAAATGTATAGTTACCAAGCCACTTTTCTGTAACTGAGCCAGGCCAAATGTCATTTAAAATACCCCCCCCCCTTTTTTTTTTCTGTAACTGAGCCAGGCCAAATGTCATTTAAAATACCCCCCCCCCTTTTTTTTTTCTGTAACTGAGCCAGGCCAAATGTCATTTAAAATACCCCCCCCCCTTTTTTTTTATAAAACCAGAAATGTTTTATCCAAATAGCATCTGTTTATGTAGGCTATAAGAATCCAGGACTAGCATGCTAGCATAATATATGAAGTATAAAACTTCAGGGAAATTTGTGGATCTCTTCCCTGAAAATCCTACAGTATTGGGATTATCTGGTCAGCGTTTTTATGACTTTTCTCACTCCTTTCCCCAATGAAATGTTTCTTATAATGTGGCATGTTGATATATGGATATAGACCCTAGTTTATTTTTTTTCCAGGAAGAAATACCACATGGCTGAACACTAGGCCTTTCATATATTTTCATTCATTTGGATATGAAGCCTTGCTGCCAAATGGTCTTGCTAGTCTATTCGCCCTGTGGATTATTATACTAGAAAGCCTTTCAAAAGCTAATAGTGGCCAACTGCCCAACCCAGAACATTTTCCTTTATGTGAGTTCTGAATAATCCTTGATTTGATATTCATATCAAAGAGCTTTTATTCTTCTGGCATTTTTCATTAAAAACAACATCCTTAATGATCTTCCAAAGTACATTCCTTTTGCAGGGTCACACTTGATAGACACAGAGACCTGGGTGCCTTATCCTGTAGTAGGATGTGGTTTTTACAACTAGATTAAGCAATACGGTATGTTTGCTTTTTTAAACATTTATATATTCTCCTTTAGGAATTTAAGGCAGTTTAAATAGTATCGCCCTTCCAATTTGATCCCCACAACACTCCTGTGAGATAGATTCAGCTGAGCAATGTGACTAGCCCAAATTCACCCAGTGAGCTTCCATGGTGGTCATAAGCTTTAACCTGGATCTCCATGGTCCTAGTTGAAGGTTTCAACCATTACATTACACTATTATTAGTAGAGCCCTCTTCCATTGTCCCTTGGTTCATTTCTGTAACTATTATTTTCCCCTCTCATCTGCATTTTCAAGATGCACAAGAAACTCCAAGATTGATACTTCCAAAGACAGCATGGTCTAAAGTGTAACATAAAACTCTGTATCTTCAAGCTATGCCTCATTAAATGATATACTTTTTTTTATTATAACTGTCTTCCATTTTGACTCAGTCCTTTGATTAGGAAATCACTGAGAATAGGGGTACCACCAGGACCAGGAGAATACACAGTCAGGGTTTACTATTAACGTAAGGAATACATTCAGTTTACTTAACTCATGAGAAACAGAACCTCAAGAGTTATAACAAGAGATAAAAGACACTGTGCAAAATATTCCTAAAATATCTAAGAGGAAAATACTTAATTGGCTTTCAGAACAAGTTGTCATGTACACCAAAAACAGAAGATAAAACCAACACAGAGGAGGTATAATAACTGAACATAGATCAAACAAGAAAGGACCAGGGAAGATACCTGCATCAGGAATGCCAACAAGTAGAGGAAAATAATCAGTAAAGAATTAGGGAGGTTTTTAAAGAGATCAGAGAAATCACAGGAAAATTGGCAGAGCTGTAATAGCGGCAAATGTGGTTAAAGGAAAACAGAAAAATCATACTGCTATTCTTTATCAATGGGAATACAGAATAAGAGAAACATTTGCAAAGAAAGTTTGTGCTCAGTAACCACTAGAAAGTGAGGTGTGATTGGCAATAGATCAGTTGTCAAATAGGAAAGCATCAGGAACAGATGAAATGCCCAGTGGATGGTTTAAATTTGCATGAGAAGAGCCAGTTAAAATGATTAAGAAAGATAGAAAAAGACTCTGTTGTGGGGTCTTTGAGGCCATTTCTGTATTGATACTGAAAATAAGAACAGGCAAGATGTTCTTATAAGAACATGTGCAGATGACCAAACTGTTGTGCTAATTCCCTCTGCAAGCAAAGTTTTGCTTCAGATTTTACCAAGATGAACGGAGCCATACGTGCAGAGAGAAATGCAAAATGAAGGGGTAGGATTCAGAAAAAGCAGAGGACACAAGATCAGATAGCAAACATCAGGTACATAATGGAAAGACAAGAGAGCATAAAAAGGAGATATATCATGGTTTTATTGAATCTAACAAGGACCTTGTGTAGATCATGACAAAATGTGGAATATATTAAAGCTAACGGATGTGCTACAACACCTCATTACTCTTCTGAGGAAACTCTGTAAGGAACAATGAGCTACAGTAGGAACCAAATTTGGCAGCAAGCTAAGGCTGCATTTTATCCCCTTAAGTGTTTATATCAACTATACGAATGACAGGATTGGAGATGACGATGGCTGGAATCAAAATTGGAGATCACAGTGCTAACAATGAGAGATATTCAAACGATACTGCTTTGTTAGCTAAAAGTTAAAAAGACTCAGGAGAACTGATTATGAAAGGGAAAAGGAAAAACAAACAAATATTATGAAGACCAAGGTAATATCAACCAGTACGTATAGAGAATGCAGAGTTAATTGCAGAAAGTGAAGGTGATAAAAATAATTATATTTTCTTGGGCTCAAGGATAGATAAAATGTGCTGAAGAAGTGAGTAAAGAAGAGATTAATTCTAGGAAGGAAGACAATGACAGAGAAAGTAATAAAAGATAAGGACGTTTCTACAACAACAAAGAGAAGGACACCCGATAAAATATGAAAGCTGGTTAATGAGGAATAGCAAGGGAAAGAAGATACCTTACATGGATCTGGAGAGATTTACCAACAGCAGTGTGGACTGCTAGCTTTTACTCTTTGATCAAATCAAAGCTAACTGCTGTGAGAAGAGCTACCAATATTGTTAGACACAGATAGCAACGGGAAGCACGTCACTAAATATACAAAAATAAACTTTTACCACTGAGATGTTGCTCTTCACATAAACAACAAAAGTGAAAAAAACTTATGTGATGTTGTCCTGAGCTGAAAACTTACAGAAATACTATTTGTAACATGAAAAAGTAGGAATACCAAATCTGGGGAGCAACAATCCGGATGACCATTAGATGGTAGAAAGAAGATAAAGAAAATTTGAGCTGGGGTTTCTTGCAGCCCCCCCCCCCGAAAAAAAGAGGCAACAAAACTTCTATCTGAGTGCTAAGTGGAAATCACTTGGTAAATTATTAAAGCCTTCCACTGCAGCAGGATAATTCCCACAGTGATACTTTGGTTTTCACTTATAATATGCTGGGCCAAAGAAAATATTTTTCATTTTTAGGAGCAGCTATAAGAAAAATAAAAGTAGCATCTGTTATTTGGAAGTTTGTTTCCACCTTGCTCGTTAAAAGATAAGAAAGAATTCAGACTTGTAGCTACAGCTTGGAAAGTGGATTAACTACAGCAAGATCCCCAATTACAGCTTACCCCTCCTCGAGAGTAGCCAAGACTAGACACGAATGACATTTCACCTCCACTGGTGAAGACCAAAATAATTTATCCAAACCCATAAACCAAGTTGAAACAGCAAACATTCTTCTGAGCTGGGCTTCCCTCTTCTGGATTTAGAATATGAATTTGCTTTAAATAAGACAGCCAAACTATGATGAGAAAGAGAACTGTTAAACAGAGCAAGAGGCATCCAGGGCCTACAAAGCTGGAATCTGATCTGCAGAATTTGGCCGAAGTCCCGTAACTTAACTAAGGGCTCAGTGTGTGGCTGTGTTGTTAGCTATGGTGTATGTATATCCAACAATGTACTCGTGTCATGCTGCTCAGATTCTGCCTTATCCCCATGGAAGTAATCGTCATTTCTTTTTCGTGGAGATTTTTTTTTCTTATAATCTTTTTAAAAACACATTCCCAAATAACAGTCCTGGGGGTAAAATGATGAGACCAAGAATTTCAACAGAAAAAACTGAGATTCTAGCTGGGGTAAGTAAAGATTTCTGAAGACAAAAAGACCTGAAATTATATAGCTTTATTTTTATGCTGAAAACTTGTACAAATCTGTAAAGTGCGAAAGCTGGAAGTTTGCCAGGGGCACCAAATGCTGGCTATACACATTAAAGCTATCTGGGGCATTTTAATTCAAGTTTCCAATTTCTTCAAGATTTTGAATTTTGAAGTTCTTTGTAAGAGCCTGCTCCTTTTTTGTTAAAATAATCTTAGAATACTATATTCTCATGAATAGAAATGGATGTGTTGCATTCATATTCTACTGAACAATCTTCTGCTAGAAATCTGTCAGTTTAAACCCCAGTAACTTCCTGAATTAATATAAAACCTTCCCCCCTTGGAATTATTTTACACTTTGGGGTTTAAGCAGAAATTGGACTATTCTAGTTTCTATACAGTAGATATATTGAGTGTTGGATTTCATTGGAATTCCCGTTTCTTTAAGAACTGCGTGGCTTTGTTCAAGGCCCTGGAAAAAGACAGGCTAGAAACTGCTTTAAGGAAACCATTTGGGATCTTGTCTAGATATTAAAAAACATTTTTAGATGCCAAGTTTTTCAGGCAGAGATCACTGAAATACTCATCCCAGGAAAAAAAAAAGGGAGCCAATCTTGTCGAGACTTTCCTTTGGAAAGTTAGAGAAAAGATTATTATCTTACATTAAAAAAAGAAAAGAAAAAAAAGAATTGGCTAGAGGGCTCGGAGGATTAAAAAGACGTTTTTGTAAGTATGAAAATACCAGAAGGCTCTTGCATTATTAACATATTGTAAGTATTTTTAAACTGCCTTTCATGTTTGGATTACTGAGGCAATATAGAAGGAGAATAAAAATATGTGCAGCCCAGTAAAATACAGTAAAACCACAGAACAAGTAAAATAAATCAGAAGCACAGAAACATACGAGTAGATTAAGGCAGCATAAGGGTTTAAATGAACTGGTATTTACGTAAGATTTTCTAAAAACACTCATCTCCCTCTCGCATCAGTTTTCTCACCCAGGACTGGCAATAACTTTCAACAGCATGAAAGGAAAGCTGGAACCAGATAAAGGTAGAAAGAAAGAAGGGTTGAATAAAGCTCATTGCTCGGAATGGCCCAGAAACAACTCTCTGAAGTCAAGTATAACATGGATCCGGCTTCCAAACCCTATCTCCCCATTTCAGATTATTTGTCAAATGTGTGTAAGGATTCTCCCACCAGAGGATGATGTGATTTCTCTTCTTCTCTTTCCTGTTTATACAATTCATGACTGGTTAGGGGTGGGAGGAAGGCTGTTGCACATTAAAAATGGGCTTTCCCTTCCCTAATTTGAGCTCTTTCCCTCGTTCCTCCAGAGTTTTGTAAGAGCTGATCTCCTGCTTTTAACCATAAAGCACCATTCACTCTTAGCATTATGTGGGAATTTGGGAGGGCCATGTATGCAGTCCTCAAAGCCTGACTCTGGATAGGATTATAATGTACTGCTAAGCATCTAGAACAGCTTGCTGGGGAATTCTGGGAGCTGAAGTCCAGACATCTTAAAGTTGCCAAGTTTGGAAAACACTGATCTAGAATTTAGTAACATAGTGATTCAACATGGAAAGGTATCCTTTTCTATGAGAGATTTTCCTAATGATCAAGAAACCATTTTTGCTATGATCCATCAGACCTTGCCATATTTCAGACTAGTGTAATTCATTTACTTTCCTGGAGGCCCAGTTATCCTGTGCTTTCTGTTTGTTTTTCTTTTCACATCTCTGGAATCACCATTAAAGGCATTAAAATATACCATATATGCTTCTCAGCTGACCATCTACTCATCTTCTGACCATAAACAAAAGCTTGACTCTTTTCAAGCTTTGCAACCCATGCCACTTTCTTAGATTGTACAATGCAGACCATAGGGTCTCATATATGCACTTTAATCATCGAACACCAAAAATTCAAATGCATCTAAGAAATCTTACATCAACTATCATGAGCCAATTCAAGTCTTTCTTACTTAGATAACAGGTCTGTGCAGTGACTGAAGTTCAAAGAGGAAAACGTGTTTCAGAGCACAGGTAGAGGACATTTGTCACACTTGTTGGCACCTTCTAAAATCAAGGATATCTTTCCTGGGACTGTGTAGCCTTCAGGAAAGCCTTCAGAAACTCTTTCAAGAGTTACCATGAGGTGCAATATGTATATCCACACATGTTCCAGATCACAGTTTTGCTTTCAAACCCATATTGTTTCACAGCCCTATTAAACCCTTCTAAATAAGTGGCTTTCCAGCTCTGGAAGTTTCAGTATGGCCAATTTTAGAAACTGATTCATCTTGAACAACAACAAAAATTGCTTGAGCTAGGTCTTTTAACTTCTGCAATTATTTAAAGCAAAAGTTACATACTTAGGGGCATTTGCTAAAGATCAGTTAATTTTAACACACACACACACAATTCTACTAACCAGAACATTGTTTTTTTGCTTGCTCTGGCACTACTGGATATTCACTATCTTCCATTTGTTTTATGTTTAATATAGATAATAAAAACCATTCCTATAAGGCGATTCAGAAATAAGGACAATGAAGGCAGCATTTTGCTTGCTGCTAATGGCTGCTGTGGGAATCAACGCTCAGAAGCCTGAAGATCTTGAAGGCAGCGTTGTGGGAGAGACGCAAGAGTTCATTTACAGAAACAGATATAAACGCTCTAGTGATGCCCAGGACAAATGTACTTATACTTTTATTGTACCTCAGCAAAAAGTAACAGGTGCCATTTGTGTTAATTCAAAAGAACCCGACACTGTACTTGAAAACAGGGTAAATAAGCAAGAACTGCAGCTTCTCAACAATGAACTGTTAAAGCAAAAGAGACAAATAGAAACCCTTCAGCAGCTGGTAGAAGTAGATGGAGGAATTGTCAACGAGGTGAAGCTCCTGCGAAAAGAGAGCCGCAACATGAACTCACGCGTCACGCAGTTATACATGCAGTTGCTGCATGAGATCATCCGAAAACGGGATAACGCGTTAGAGCTTTCTCAGCTGGAAAACAAGATCCTGAATCAAACTGCCGATATGTTGCAGCTTGCAAACAAATACAAAGATCTGGAGCACAAGTACCAACATTTGGTGGCCATTGCAAATAATCAATCTATAATGATTGCGCAGTTAGAAGAGCACTGCCAAGGGACATCAGCCATTAAACCTGTCCTGCAACCTCCACAGCCACCAAACCGAGTCTACCAGCCACCCACTTACAACCGTATCACAAACCAAATATCTACCAACGAAATCCAGAGTGACCAGAACTTAAAGGTTCTACCACCACCGCTCCCAACCATGCCACCAGTTACCAGCATTCCAACTTCCACTGACAAGCCCTCAGGTATGTAAATTTCTTGACACACCTAAATGTTTTGCACACTGAAGCCATTCATGATACAGAAGTCATAACGATGCCTCGATGCTTCATCACAAACACAAATTAAACACCTTTGACAAATTGAGGAGAAAAATATTGGGAGATCCTGCACTGTGTAAGATGCTGACCTTTGGGTCAAAATAGCTGGCTGGCACAAGACCTTCAAGATTATATGAGTGTGGTTTGGCATCCCATAGGCTATTTTAAAACAGCTTAGAATTTGAAAGAACATCACCTGCATAGTGTGAACAAAATCACCTTGTCTATGGAAGCTTGTGTGCTTTCTTATTTGCGTATTAAAATGCAAGAAATTTAGATATTGATGGCAATCAAGGGGGAAAAAACCTCCTTCTTTATATGATCCTGGATGATTTCTCAGTCTTCCCCAAAGCTATCTTCCCAATCAGGCAGCAGTTCCAACACTCAGAAACGTATTTCCCATCATCTTCTACTTGACAAGTCCTTTTAAATGCTGAACATTAACCTTATAACCTTATATTAGCAAAACATGTGCTTACCCACTGAGGAATCACCTGCTGTCTCCCTTGGAGTAGAACAGAAACCTCTCTAGAGTAGCTTCTCTGCAACATCTTTACTTCCCTTAATATTCTTAAATTCTCTTCATTTAGTGACCCAACTTCTTGCCTAGCTAGTTCCCTGCTCTGAATATATTTTAAAAAGTGTTTGCTGTCAACTGGACAATACTTTTCTTTTCAAGGGTAATGTATGTGATTTTTGGAGCTAGGAGAATGATCCTTCCTTCCTTCCTTCCTTCCTTCCTTCCTTCCTTCCTTCCTTCCTTCCTTCCTTCCTTCCTTCCTTCCTGTCCTTATTACTATAGAATTCTACCTTCCATTCTGCTTAGCGTGAATAGTAATCTGCTTCTCCTCCATCTTGCTTGCAATTCCTTAGGGAAGCCTACCTCCTACTTTTGGATGAAAATACACTGAAAGCTGTATTTTCCTTTATTAAATTATGGAAAACTTCCTTGGAGCTAAAGGCTATGCTGGAAATGGATCATAAGCCAGAAAGCCTCTCAGCTACTTTTCTCATGCCATACAATGTACAGATTTGCATCTCTCCTTCTGATATTTTAATATACCGTCTTACCATAAGGTTTTTAAATCTGAAAAAAAAAATACATGCATGGGGCTTGCCAGGGAGAAGCCACAGGGGTTATTACAGTTCAGAAAATAAACAAGCTTTCTTTACTGAATCTGAACCATTATATTAATAAGCTCAAAGGAATGGTAAGTAGGATTCACAGTAGGAGAAGCTAATGCGAAAGGTTCTTAAGAGAGGTGGAGTTCCTAGAAAACAGCTATTAAAAGCACTATTTTCTCTCATCTAAGAAACATTTAAAAAGTAAGATGATAAAAGAGAACTGGATTCTCAGTCAAACAATACTTCTAAATGAAATAAACAACATCTACTTTTTCTTAATTAGGGAAACTATCTGGAGAGAAAAGAGTGATTTGTTCAACCAACAGGATCAATTCACTCTTTTGGACTGTGAAATAGTTCAGTTCTCCCTCAGTTTTGCTTGTTAAATGATGCAATACTCTGTCTTTAGGAAATGCCTCAGAACCCAGTTGAGGACTCCACAGGTCCGCTTGCCAGATCTAGCGAGCATATGACACTATGATTTCTTTCTTAAAATCTGTTTGTTAACTGGATCCTGATCCTACTTCTGCCTGCTTTGAAGCTTAGCATACATGATGTGGCATGCACACATGCAGAAGGACAAACACACACTGAGTGCTTGTAGGAGGGGAAGACTCAGGAGTTCTCATAATACATGGCCAGCCAGCTATATTCCTTTTGCAGTTCTGAAAAAAAAATGTGGATATTTCTCTGAACATAAATAGAAGAAGTTTTACCCAGCCATGAGGTATAAGGATTAAAGCTGGTGAAGTGGGAATGAAAGCTAGAGAGCTGTAGGAACATGGAACAGAAGTCAACCTTCACGGGATGAGAATGGCTAAGAAACTGTTGATTCAAAAAGGTGGGAAAATGTGGCCTAGGATTTAAACCTGGGTCTGCCATACATACATACACAATCATGATGCTTGCATTCTACAGTCGCTGATTTTCTGTGTATGTATAACTTCTTTGGAATCTATAATAAAAGCTACTTACTTAGCTACCATGCCCTTGAAGGTTCTGTGTTAGCTACTGAGTAAGAAGCCATGTTTCTGGAGGGGAAGATTTATTGCTAGGTCTGGTATTAAGTCTAAAACTGAGTAGCAATCTGCAAGAGTGGAATTCTGAAGGATAATAGAGACTGTGGCTTTCAGACCACATATGTAGTTTTTAAATTTAATTATACAGTGGACTCTTTCAAAACCAAGGCAGTTTTGCAGCTGTCGTATTACTGTCTAGATTCTGGCTTGCCATGAACATTGGAATTAATCTAAACATGCTGAAGAACATACACCTGGCTGCCTTATATCTAATGCACACACAGAAAGAAAAAAATCACTATTATCTCCATAAAAATCAATCTTTGCAGCTGTCACTCATTATAGTCCTCTGGAGCTTAGAAGAGCTTTGGGAGAAACAAGGAGTATGACATTGATGAGCCATCAGTTCAGAGAACCTGCTGTCACTAAGGTCTACGGAACTAAAGCAAACAAATAATTAATTAAAAATTGGATTTAAGAAACCACCAGACACTGAGCAAAAATAAGCAGGTCCCCTTTCTGAAGAAGAATGTGCCTCTCTTGCAATACGGTTGACACTGTTATCAATTCTTATTCCAATGCTATTTTTGGCAAGCTGTTTAACTGTCAACTCCTCTTACAAAATAGGAAGCCAAAAACAACTCTATCAGTCTCTACAGAGATTTCTGGGATGCTGTGGGGGAAATAGGAAATATGTTTACACAGTTCATCTGACTGTACAGTTTCTAAGTACAGTTAGTTGGCATCATTGCAGTATTTCTATGCTGCTTTCAAAGCACGTCCCAGAAACATTTTTAAGAAGCTAAATTATTTAATCTTACCTTGCTTTTTTTTAAAAAAAAACTGCACATTACAATGATGTCTATTTAAATCAATTAACAAATTTATGGAGTAATTAAGATGCATTGTTCACTATACAATATACACATTCCAGTTACAAACTACTGTGTTTGATAGTTACTTTCATGCATATGATTTCCAAAATATGAAAACCACCACTTGTAAAATGGCCTCAAACAGCAAAAACAGCCCCAGAATATTAATCCTATGTATTTTAACATAAAAGACTGATTTTTTTTTTCCAGTTGTGTTTAAAAGTGTACTTGTTTTCCCTACGGACTTTCACATGCAATATTACAATCCCAATACAAAACATCTCCCTTTCTCCATGTCTGCACCATAAATAATTGCTAAGATTGATTATGTTCAAACACAAATATAGGACTCTGTCCTGGATGTTACTACAAATTTCATGTTGAGGTGTTCACGACTTCAAAGAAGATAACCACAAGACAGCACATACTAATATCATTCCTCTTTAAATACAGGAGTTGAGCCATTTTGCAGACTTCAAGTAGGAAGTCAGACTGTCAAAAGGCATTCCAAATATTGGTATCAATGCTCGCAGAATGATTTTTCTTGAAACCAGGTGGAACTTCAGACTTGAACAGTAAATCTATGTCCTGCTCATCCCTCTTAAATTTCATTCTGTTCAGTGGAGTTACTACATGCACACAAACAAAAAGGAAGCCAGGCAAGGCCTCATTTGAGTTGGTCAGTTTTAAGTGGTCAGTTTTAATTACCTCTCTATAGCCTCCTGGATGCCAAAACAGGAAGGCAGACGTGATGGTTTCTGCAGAAAGTTCCTACCCTTGCAGAAAAATAGAAGTTAAAACAATCTCCTCCGTATCTTATCCATTCCTGCAAGACAAGGACCTTAAGAACAGAGAAACCTGTGTCCCTTGTACCTGAAAGCCTCTGGGCAGGTGATTGGATACATGGCAAAATGTTGCACATGTTCAGTGCCATGCTACAAAAGAGTTTGGCAGTAATGCAGGACAACATCCCTTACAGTAATGAAACAGTAATGTTAAGGGGATTTGCTTAACATCCATCATATTTTCACAGCTTCCTTGCTACTATAACTATTTCCAGCAATAAATACGATACTATGCTTCTAATTTTAAAGAAGCAGCACTCCAGAATATAGTAAGATAAATGAAGTTCAGTTCTCTTGAAACAAGAATCATCCAGAAAACATATTTGTCTCTGTCTAGGACTGAGATGATATAAATTACAAGAAAGACATATGTTGGCTCTCTTTTCAACCAGGTCCTTGGAGAGACTGTTTACAAGCTTTAGAAGATGGCCATGGCACCAGTTCCATATATCTTGTAAAACCTGAAAATGCAAACCGACTGATGCAAGTCTGGTGTGATCAGCGACAAGATCCTGGTGGCTGGACAGTAATTCAAAGACGTTTGGATGGCTCAGTCAATTTTTTCAGGAACTGGGAAACGTATAAGGTGAGGCCAAATCATAGCATATTTCACTGAGGGGAAAAAAAACTTCTCTGAAGTCATGTTTGAAAGTTTTTCCAAGAATTTGTCAAGAATGTTTAGGAGCATTTGACTTTGTAGGTCTGCAACTCATAGTGAAGGAAAGCCATAATACCTGATCTGTTGACAGAGACACTGATCGCTGAGGTAGCAGAATACAGGCCATCTCTCATATTAGTCTTTTAACTATATCTTGGCACCCATTAGCACAGAATATTTAGGCAGGTATGGCAGAGTCCCATCCATGCTCTTTTCCTTATTTCCCTTTGAATCAAGGGAGATCACAAATTCCAAAGGAAATCCATAGAAGTGAATTTGAAACTCTCTCCCATCCCTGAGTAGAAATTATCAAATTAAACCAGGTAGGAAAAAGAAAAAGAAAATATATTTTTTTAAAACCCTCAGAGTCATTTAGATGAAATGGGCGGCTATACAAATCAAATCAATGATTGAATGAACGAGTTAATTAATTAATGAAAAAAAGACATATCCCAGCCTCTACTAAGACAATCCAGTTTCTAGGTGCATTCCAACACTTGATAAACATCTAGATAAAGTCAAAACTGGTTGAAGAAATTTGGACCAGATTCCCTCTAATCAGTCTCAATCTTTTAGGTACTAAAAGCTGAGAACCAAATAGCAGCTGCACAATTACCTTTGCCACAAAAACATTGAGTCGCAGAAATTTAATAACCACTAGATAATGGCTACCTGTGACTTGTGAATCTTTAGTAAAATCAGTACTGAATGCTAATTCATTTCCTTCTTTTTTCTTATAGCAAGGATTTGGTAACATCGATGGAGAGTATTGGCTGGGGTTAGAAAACATTTACTGGCTGACAAATCAAGGCAACTACAAATTGTTGATAACCATGGAAGACTGGTCAGGACGTAAAGTTTTTGCAGAATATGCCAGCTTCCGGCTGGAGCCAGAAAGTGAATACTACAAGTTGCGATTGGGCCGATACAATGGCAATGCTGGAGATTCCTTTACATGGCACAATGGAAAACAATTCACCACACTGGATAGAGACCATGATGTATATACAGGTATAAAAATTTGCATTGAATTCAATGAGAATGTACATTAAAACAATGTACGCAGTATGTTAAGTAAGGTAGAAAAAATTACTCCAGGTATCAGTGGTATGGCTGAGGTACAACTCAAAGCCTAGAACTCCAATAATAGCATCCTACAATTGCCCATTCAATTTTTCTCCTTCTCAATATCAGAACATGAAGTTACCCACTGAAGTTAAATACAGGGAGACTGAGGGCCAAAGATAGGAATACACTTGAACTGTGGAATCCACTGACAACATCACTCGAAACAATTTTAAAGTCACAACAGCCATCACTTGAAACAATTTTAAAAGAAGACTAGGGTAAATTCATGGAGGATTGTGTTATCAATGGCTCCTAGACCTTGATGGATGCATAGAACATCCAGAATCAAAGACATGGTCTAGAAGTTGCTAGAGAGCAACAGTGAGAGAAAGGGACATCGTTCTCTGTTTCTAAGTTTAAAGTGCAGGTTATTGCCCACTATATGATGCAAAATACTGTTCTACATGGGCTCTGACAGAATATATTAAGGTTCTGGTTATGATAATAACTTGCTTTCAGCTTCCTTGAGTAATAAACAAAGAAGGTAAGTGGGTTAGGCAAAGCAGGGACTAAGGATATATAGGCAAGGGAGGAAAAGTAAAAGACAACCCTGAGACTGAACCAGAAACTGTTACTGATGACTTGGTTTCGATTTCTGAAGTAAAGGCTGCCTGAATTTTCCCAGGGGCTTAATAACTTCAACAAATCAGATTACTTGTAGCCAAGATGACACATTTGAAGCAGTCAAAGCCAGAGCAGTCCAGCATGGACACTTGTATTCAGGACAAACTGACTTCATCTTGACTTAGGAGCCATTTGTTCCTTGCAGTTGTTATCAACCTTGCCTCTTCCAAGTTTTCTGAACATTTTCTGTTCACTGGCACACCATTCAAAAGAGACAATAAAAAAAAGTTAAAAAGGAAACAAAAAGACCAGAACACATCCTCTCCAGCAGCCTACACCCAGATAAGCAGGGATGAACACCAGACAAATGATCAAGCAGAAAACAATACTCTAATCAAGGAACTACCAAGGAGAAAACCATACCGCCCTCCCCACACTAGCAAGGAAAGCTACTGTACATAAACAGGGAGCAAACCCCACACTCACTAGCACTGATAATGTCACCTAGTTGTCTGCAAGCATACAATCAAGCTCAGAAAGCATCAAGGACTCCATGGTTCAACCCTGAACTACAGATATTCTCTTCTATTGGAAGTTTTCTGAACGTTGGTGAAGAGAGTCTTTATTCCACAGACAGACACAGCCAGCCAGACGCACATGGAAAAGTGCGCTTAGTTTAAAGCATAGGCTGAGATAATCCATGTATTCAAAACGTGATATCTTTATTTCTGTTACAGGTAATTGCGCACATTACCAGAAAGGGGGATGGTGGTACAATGCGTGTGCACATTCAAACCTCAATGGTGTCTGGTACCGAGGAGGTCATTACCGAAGTCGATATCAAGATGGAGTTTACTGGGCAGAGTTCCGGGGGGGATCATATTCCCTGAAAAAGGTTGTCATGATGATCAGACCTAATCCTAACACATTCCATTGAAAGAAATATAGTCTTCTCAAGAGACAAAATAAAAAGGTGCCAATAGTTATGTGTGTTTTCCAGAACACATCTTCTCAGCAACAAAGAATGTAATGTATTGCACACTGACTGCTATTCAAGGAGACCTGTATATTGTACTGTTCCGGGATCATTCTAGAAGCAAAATAAGAACAATTTCAGATCATCACTCTTTGTATGAAAAAAAAAAAGCCACATTCAGATGAAATGGACTGTAGATAAACTGAAATGCTAGGAACACTGTCACATCCTCTAAATACTTTGTATGTTATATATACTCTCAAATCCTGCACATATTCAAAACTCTACAGTAAATAATAGATTCATTTGACACAGGAAATTATATCCTTTGAAACTATGTAGCCAGTATGGGTATCTTAGACTGTTAAAAGCGATTCTTCTTAATTTAATCTGTGTGAACTGTTGCAAAGACTTAGTGCCTGTCCACAACTTTGTCTAGCACAAACAGGATTCCAACTTTGCTTGGATGCGATGCAGTGTTAGAACTTCATAACGAACTATTTCAAGTATAAACTCAAGTTCAGTTTATACAAACAATTCCAATATTTCTCTTTACTCTTCCTCTTTAACGCATTGGCCATTCTCCACAAATTGACCAAATGGGTACTATATTTTTTTCATTATCTCAACAGTACGAACATTTTTCTAGACTTCTTGGAACAACTTAGACCTTACTTTATAATCAGCAGAAATATTTTCAGCGCGTAAATGACAATTTCAGGTTCTATGTTAAGTTGCCCTTGCAGACTCATCATCTCCTCTCTAATAAAACGAGCAGTCACGCAACTGACAGAGTCACCTAGTCAATGGAATAAAAACTTGGCGGGGCGGGTGGAAAAGATTCTGGCATCATTAAAAAAAAAAACTCAAAGTTTGCTGCTTCCTTAAATTGAAGGCAAATAATAGATACAGGAACAGAACCTGTTTAAATATCCTCATTATTACTGTTTAGAGAGACTATATGGTGCACAGAACTATTTGCCATATTTTACTATAATGGTCAAATACACATATTAAAAGAGAATTATGCAAACATATCTATAATGTCCATTGTAGAAACTTGAACTTCTGAATTCTAGTATACCAAAATTGATTATTTTAAGAATTTACTTTATAGGAGCAGTGGAAACCATAAAGTTTTAAACTGTTATTACCTCATTATTTCATTCCTAATGGACAATGTGCATTAACATTTTGGAATGAGGTAGCATGTCTTGTATATAAATAAAAGTAGGGATTTTAATATATGATCAGATTACCTTGTAATGCTGCAAATGTGTAATAAAAGCAACAAATGCTACTTGGATACATATGTTTTATTTTATTAGATATAGATAGACAGAGAGACAGACTGACTTTAATACAGTCAGTGATGAGTATACCTTTTATTATCATTAACAACATTTATTTTTGAAGCATCTAAAAGCCCAATTGAGCAAATATGGCCTCAGGAAGTGCTCAAATTCAACAGAAAAACTGAAATGGCTATCAGGCAGAAGTGCACCTTGAAGAGAAAAGAAACAAATTCAGAAATGTTGGGAAAAAAATCTGTATTGTAACGTAAAGGTTCAGAACAGCAGCACTTAGAGAAAGAAGAGCTAACTGATTTCTATGTTTTTTTGATACTGATTACAAATACAAGAGTAACCGGATGGGTCTCCTTTGGTCTTTGAACCAAAGTTTCCAGGGGAAATAAAATAGGAAAGTCAACTTCTAAAAGATAAAAAACTAATTCCCCAGTCTGAATATAGTGTATAGGAATCTGTGCTCACTTGCAATTAATATAAGCGTTTAGGCTCACTGTCTTCTCTAAGAACTGTAAAAGAATAAGAGGATCAAATGTTGCATACACCAATGGTCCTAGATTAGCAAAAAAACATTAAGGAAAAAAAATTAACTGGCAGACTAATGTAGCAGTCACACAACTGACAGAGTTACCTAGTCAAAGGAATAAAAACTTGGGGGGTGGGGTGGAAAAGATTCCGGCATCATTTAAAAAAAAAAATCTCCAAGATTCCTGCTTCCTTAAAACCACACAAATTGTGCTGCACTCAACTAAAAATGAACCTCATAATCTTGACTATGAATCTAGTGCTTCCCCTCCCTTTTTTTCTTCCAACTGTAAAAACTGCAGGCAGAGAAGACCCTAAAAAAATGCAGAAATCCTTTGATGTGAATACTATTTCATTAATTCCAGGCCTGTTCCTTTTCCAGTGCATGCCATCCCAACTGCAGCAACTACTGGGTTGCACTGTAATTCTTGGAAGTGATTTAGTTAGCTCTGGGCTTTTCAAATACTAGATGAGGCAGTTGCCAACTTTTAAGTGAAAAATGATATTAAAAGCAAAGTTGACTAAAAAAACACAAAGATGAAACCAATGGCAAAGTGTGCTTTGTTTCCTGCACACCATACATCTAGAGGTCATGTCTGTTAGCAGATTCTGTTGAAACAAAGGAAGACATGAAATGTGGCACAAGTTTTGGAAGAGTGGAGCTCCCTGAATCGTGAGCATTTTTAAAATAAAGACGCTGCAAAGCTATTAAGGGAAGGAAGAAAAGACCACATTAAAAAAGAAAGAGGACAAAATGTTCACCTGGTGTGTAGACAAGAGCTGAAATGTAAACTGGAAGTCTTGCAAATGTTAGAAGATATGGGTAAATTGCAGAAAATATGTAGGCAGAATACATAAATGGGAAGAGAAATGCTTCTGTCTTTTATCCTACATCATCCTCTTCTTCTTAAACTCCCATAAAAATTAAGTTCATAAAGTAGAAAAGCTCTGGTTCTATACATAGTTTGCACTCCATTTTCATTTTTGTCCTTAACACTCTCCTTGCAATTTCTGTATTAAAGAAAAACAAATCCTGTTGCAAATCCAGGAATTATTCTTGTCCCTTGCAAGGACCAATGGAACAGCAGAATTAAAACAATAATTGAACAAATCCCTATCAATTTTCAGGAAGGGGGCAGTGGGTGGAGGGAAGACCAACACTCCTGTCACATTGTTCATTCAACCCATCGTTCCTCTCCCCAAACCTGCACAGTAACCTAAGACAGCTACAAAGCAATTTTCTCAAATGAAATAAAGGTTCCCTTCCATTTATGCTCATGCGGAAAGCAAATCTCTTAATTAAGAGTACTGAACCGTGAATGGTGAGGATTTTATCTTCAAAGTATGTGGCTTTCAGAAATAAAGGAAGCATTTTTAAAAAATAGTTATGCAGAAAAGCACAAAATAAACACAGACACTTATGTCATGGAATTACCAGCACACCATATAGGACAAACAGCAAAAGCTCGAAGAAAATGAGCTAACAAAGGGCCCTTTGCCCACTTTCAAACAATAAATTTTTTAAAAATGACTTATTTTTATGCTCCAGAGGATTACATTTTAGGAAGAACAAATAATAACTACTCCCCATCCCTGAAATCTCCCTCTTCCCTATTTTTTTGGATAGCGACATTAATTATAAATAAATTTAGTGATTTTCTAGCAATGACAGTGGTTATCCTTTCAGACTTCTCCAAGTTGAGAATGCAAGTCAAGCCCTAGGAGCTTGCAGAGAAGTTTTCGAAAGGATTAAAATAAAATTTTTAAAAAGCGTAATCATCCAATAAAATGTGCAGTTGAAAAGGATTAAAAGGTCTAAAGGGCCTAGACAAATAATATAGCACTAAGTCATTTTTGCACCAAGCAGGTCTTCATGGAGAAGGTATTCTAGAAACATTGTTCCACAATCCCAAAGACCAATTTTCACTCATCCCTTTCATCACTTCTCACACATTTAAATGACCTGTGCTATGCTGTCTGTGAGGAATCTAGTTTTAGCATAATGTAAGGATAGTATAGCATTATAATAACCAACAGAGTCACATGAAAATATAGCAAATATGCCATAAAGGTACAATGCCTCCTGTTACAATAGAAGTCTCTGTGCCAACCACTTCATTTAAGATTGTTCATCTCCTTTGTTTGTCTGTGGCATCAAGCATAAAAACCAGATAAAGAAACTTTATCCCAAATAGATTTACAACAGTCCTCTACTTACGAACAGGTAAAGTTCGAAGAGGCTGTTCGTAAGTCCATTTTGTTCATAAGTCCAACCAAGTATAAAAAACACGTCTCCCAATGTGTGATGGTACTGCCAAGTGTAGGTATGTGGCATGCCATAAACTAACCCTTTCCTGCCTTCTCCCGCATTCCGGGACCTTCTAGGTTGGAGACGCAGATAGGTTTGTTCGTATTGGCGAAAGTTTGTAACTTGAAAGTTCGTAAGTAGAGGACTATCTGCATTGGAAAAACTGGCAAATGAACCTTGATTTATAGAATTTGCCATGCTTGGATGAGAAAGCTGTTGACCTTGGAGAAGCTTGCATGACTCCAGCACCAAGCATCATGTAAGAATAACTGATCTATTCTGTGGATCCTCAGAATATTTTACAGCTTGTGGGAGCTCTTCCTTCATTGCATGATAGGAGGGTAATGGCCATGTTCCCAATTTGTGAAAATTAAAACAAAAAACACCCTAGCTACCTGAATTGAACAGGTTTGGATCCACTAAAATGGGCTTATTTATTACTCAGAAGGAGAAACACTGTTACTGAAGACTCTTTTCAGTACAATAGTTCTAAAACTTACCTAAATAAGGAATGCAGGGGACCATCTTTAAGCATCTGATGTATTCTCGCATCCTCTTATAATTATCTTCCTTAGACATTAAATAGTCTAGCTTCTCAAAAGTGGTCTTGTCCTTGCGATTCAAAAGCTTAAGAAAAAAATAAAATAAAAAGAGATTAGGTCATTCACATCCTACAAATGAAAAGTTAAAATACAGGAAAACATCCTTTCTCCCTTTATATTTCCTTTTTTTTTTTTTTAAGTATTAGAGCCATACAAAGCCTTCAAGAGATCCTTCACCAAGTATTGGGTACAAAAAAGCACCCATCTTCAAATGATTAAAGCAGTCTCAATGGCGAAGCACAGCTGCTTTGCTTCACTGTCACCTCCAGCACATGCACATCCCCATTCAGGCAACTGGTGACAGCATTCAAAGCAGCTGTGAGAACCGTGCAAAGGGGACAACTGTTTTGATCCTTTGTGCTAATCTGCTTTGTCAACCGCCTCTTTCAATGGCTTTGCACAGCTCTGTTCAATATGCTTTTATTTCTCATACGGCACCTCACTGCTCTGTTTTGTGATGCTTGGCAGGTTCCAGCTCCTAAAAGCAACAGGTAGATCTTTTAGCTTAATTTCATATTTGTTTGGCATTTCTACGAGAAGAATGATGGTCTCACAAATCTGTATTTCCATAACTTGTTAAAGTACCAGAATACAGATGGTGGAAAAATGGTATATCTTTTGCAGAGTAATATATATTTACAATGTCTTCCTAGAGTCTAAAAGCAGTGGCTGTATCACTGGTGTTTATAACAAATGTATCTGGGTTAATACAGGTTCTGAAAAATGGCAAAGAAAATAAGGAAACCGATGTCAGACTATATTGGGTGAATTACCGTACTTTAGTTCCCCTTGTAGTGCAGTTTCATAAATTAAGAAATTTGCCTTGAAAACAGCTGCAAGTTCCCTGCTCAGTTACATACATAATCAATCAAAACCTTTAAATTAGCTAAGTCTCTGAAATTATTTCAATTATTTTGTTTTCAGTCCTGAAATGGGTTATACGTATGTTCAAAGCATGAGAAAAATCCCATGTGCTCCTAGTTAAGCAACGCCTTCCCTGATTTACTGCTTGTTTCTAATCAGAGAAGAAAGAAATGTCAGATTGTTGCCTTCTTACTAAAAAAGACACCCAACTTAATTTTTAGAAATGCTTGAAAGGGAGCCATTTTTTATCTCTTGTTCCTAAAAGATGACACACATTTCAGCTCCTTGTCACTAATAAAATGACCAAAGGAGAGAGACAGAAAGATTTTTATCGTTGTTTTGAGATGAAGTAATAAGAAGGGAAGTGTCCAGTAACAGCCAGAAATGGGTCTGTGCTTGCAGATTAACAAATTCTACTGCATTTTCAATGGACCCTGAACACTGGCTGAACTCCCACTGATGTTAAGGAATGTTTATACAAGGAAGCAAGTTCTTTTAGAAGAGTTCTAAACAATATTCATTTAAAAAAAAAACTGGGTTGACTCATATTTAGAGGATAAACTAAAGACCTGGAAGCTAAGGAAAGAGGGCCCAGGAGGTAGGAAAAGAGGCAGATGGAAAAAAAGGTAGTGACTCTGGATTAGGAAGAGAGATGAGGCAGCAAACGGGGTCTGGGTGTAGGCACGTACTCTCACATAGTTTTGACTGAACTGCCAAGCTATGGGTATTTCTAGCCAAGAAGGTACTACTCTAATTTACTACTTGCATCGATACGTCAACATGTACCGTTTCTCCCCACCACATGACAGTATTCCCTTCCAGATATGTAACTCCTTCCAAATGCTGTAACAAACCCGATGGAAAAAGTTAAAATATCAATTGTACCAAATATGCTATTAGCTCTTTATTCTCTATAATTAAGGCAATCGTTCACTAAAATCCAGATGTTAAGAAAGGACTCCATCTTATTATACTTGGAAACTGTATCTCCTAAAAAACAAAAGAAAACAAACAGCCTCGTGTCATAAGAATGGAATGTTTCCGATGATCAACAGTTAGCTGAGACAAACCTCCCCCAAAAACTGTTATCAAAGGGGTTTGGCTGGCCCTCCAACATTCTGTCAAATTCATGGCTTGAACGGTTCAGAGAGCTTGGTTTTTAAGCCCAGTTCTCAACCATGTGCACATGTGCAGGCATGTGAGAGGTATCAGGTTATCTATCTCTGACCAGACCAGCTCTCAGAAGGGCAGCTAGGACTCCCAGTGGCCTAAATCTCCCATGGTCATCAGTTAGAAAGTAACACTACCTCTGGGCCAGTCTCACTTAGGGATACAGATGTTTGGAGACACGGAAACTGAACCAATGAAGAATGGTCATTTCTCCTTTTAGTAACAAACTGCATCATCTCTGATACCTGATTGTACTGCATGGAAGTACTTACTAAGCCATCAGATGCAGCCAAAGCAAAAATCCAGTACTAGAGGGACCCTCAGCCCAACAACAAAAAGCATTTTGACCAGCAGCACTGCATCATACAGTAGTTTGTGTCAAGTAACATTCTCAAGGTTGTGTTATGGCATGTGCTCTTTGCATCAAGATAGAAAACTGGCTCCTAATCCCTAGTAAACAAGAAAACATTGCCACCATCATCTCATTCATCCACTCTACACCAATGGGACACAGTTTTAAAGGCTATCATTCTGTTGCCAAGGCTGAGATGGTAACAAATCCTGTACATTTATAGCTGAACTGGTTTATGACTTCAATACTAAAAGATTATTCATTCTGGGTGTTGACCTTGATTTGTTCTGTAGGGCAAAGACATGATCATGAAAATAACTAGATCAGGCTTTGGTCTACCATAGACGTTAAGTATCATGACTTCAATATTTTTCAGTCACAACACAATTAGTATAATGTATCTTTGTTTAGTGTTACTTTCTTGTGGTATAGAGCAGGGTTCCTCAACCTTGGCAACTTGAAGATGGGTGGACTTCAACTCCCAG